GCCGGGCACGCCGCGGGGACCCACGCGACCCCCCCGGAGGCCCCCCCCCCCTCCGCCCTCCGCGGGGCCCCCCGCGCGCCCCGCCGCCCGCGCCCCGCGCCCCGGGCTCCCCTGCGGGCCCGCCACTTCCCAGCTCTGACGCGGGAGCCTGCTTCGCACCAATGAGGCCCCGGCGCGGCCGGGCCCTGCCCCTCCCCCAGGAAGGTGTGTCCGCGGTTTCCACACCTGAAACTTCCTAGGAGAGCCAGATCCCTCCCTCCCGTCCGGGCGGGGAGGGGCGGGCCGCGGGTGGGGCGGCTGGGGCGGCCGGGCCTGCGTCGGGGACAGCCGGCCGGCGCCTGGGACCCGGAGGGGACTCTCGGGCCGAGAAGGCATGTGACACTGCCCAGGTGGGTGCCCTCCTCCCTCGCCGCTCGGGGGCCCCGGGCGGGGCGGCTGTAGAGCCCCGGCGGAGGTGAGGGACGGCCGGGAAGGACGGGGAGTCTAGGCCTTCACACCCCCACCCCCCACCCCGGGCCAGCCCCAGCTGGGTCCCCGGGCACGGGCTCCGGAAATGGGGGGCAGGGCAGCTAGGCAGAGTTCGGGGTGTGTGACCGAGTACCCTGGTCCGAAGAGGAAGGAAGCTAGAGGGAAGGCTCTTGCCTGAAAAATTTGCTTCCGGCCTGGTCCCCGCCTTGGAAGTGGGCACCCGGACCCCAGATGTTCCCCGGGCCAAGAATCGGGCCTCTGCCTTCAGGGTCTCGGCCCTGGGGAAACCTAACCCCCGGGAGTAAGAAATAACTGAGGTTCCCTTTGTGGTCCTTGTCCCCTAACTAGAGGTGTTTTTTGTCGTCTCCTTTTTCTTCCCCGGGCCTGGGCCTTCCTTCATTTATCTTCCTCTGGATTCGCATGCTGTGTACGTCTAAGTACACGCCTCTCCTCTGCCCCACGAAGCGCCTGAACGTGTAAAAAGGACTCCTGCCCTGCCCCCACCCTATTCCCCCATATATTCGAAGTACTTCCAAAGCTTCTGTCGATGGTGACTTTGCATTCTGCAGTTGCCGAGGTGAGATGGGGTTGCGGTGGGGGTGCTGGATCAACGCTAGTTCTGAGCATCATTTATGGTTGCCTTTCAGCAGGACTGCCCTAGGAAAGCTAATCCGGATGTCCCTGGGGTTTCAGATCTCAGGCCCTTTCCCCTTCCTGGATCTTGGATTCCCGAGACAGATTTGCCTTCCCATCTACCTAGAAGTGAACTCTGGCCAGGGCTCTTGTCAGATTGAGGGGGAAGGGTGTGTCAGACCAGGGAGAGAGGGTGACTTTCCTTTCCAGTTTCTTCCCTCCTTTGCTCCCCGACTTGCGTTCCTGGTCTTGCAGCCTTGGCCCCCTGCGGAAGTCCCAGCTCCTAGCTACACAGCTCCGCATGTGGCCTCTTTCTCAGACTTACTGTTTTACCTACACATGGAGCGTGAGGGAGCTCCTGGCCCCGGGCCCCAGCAAAGCGGAGGTCATTTGGGTTAACAAAACCGAAGACCTGCCTAGTGAGGGGGTTCTTGGGGGCTGGGGAGGAGCAAGGATGGGGATATCAGTTCTAAGAGAGTCTCTTTAGCAGGAGGATTGCATGTTGTTACCCTAGCAGGGAGGAGAGAGGCCGGGAGGTAGGCAGGTATGTACTCTTAAAAGAGCACAGTAATTCTAAATATAGTCAGGGGTCCTCATATATTAGGGGTCCCCAGAGTGTATGGCTTCCCGTAACAGTCTGTCTGAGGTTGTCTGTGGCCACATCAAGTATGGTGTCTGTAGGATAGACAGGAACGTGTCATTTGTGGTGTGTGGAATGGTTGGTCACAATGCGGTGTGGACAAGAATGGGGTCACTCACAGGATCATGGGTCGAACAGGAACAGTGTTGCTGAAGTGTCAGTGGTGTAGACTCAAAACAAGTGACTTGCAGCTTCTGCTGTAGACAGGGATGAGTCACTGTGTGTATAGAGTGAACAGGAGCTGGTCATTTATAGCGTCTGCAAGGTGGACCAGAACAAGGTCCCCCTCAGGGTCTGTGTTAAGGACACACAGAGGGCGCTCACGCTCATGTTATCTATGTGGATGGCACCAGGGCCGTGGATGGATTTGTGGGGTATATGTCATTTGCCACTAATGATGTTCCAGGTAAGCCCGTGTGGTCTACAAGACAGCGGATGATGTGCTGTTTTCAAGCATCAGGGAACACATAAGAGATGTTTATTACACTTTTCATCGGGATGGTGGGGCTTTCCTCAAATGGATAGAACACAGGTGTTGGCAAGCTAGTGGTCCAGAAAGCTCTCTTATTTTAGTATCTTTGTAACACTGCAGGCAATATTATCAAAGAGTGAGTAAAGACACATATCTGTATGGTGGTCTTATTTTCTAAATCAAAATGAGAACGTTTTGATATGTGCGGTATTTTCCTAAGGTGAGCCGGAGTATAGACGATATCGTGTAAATTCAGTAGTGTTGTAATCTCAAGAGTATTGCAGTGATGTTTGGTGTAAGTCAGATTCTAGAATACTTGAATCTGACAGTACAAAATCTGGGAAGCCTGGTCCTGAAAAATACACATGACACTCAACATTGGTTCAAAGAACAAGTAGTATGATAGGGAGGAGGGGATAATCTGTGAAATACAACTCCCTGTCTGGTGACTAGCAACGGACAAGACCTAAGGTGTTGGGGGGCTCCAAGGGAGACACTGAGCTCTGTCGCTGTATTTATCAATAGAGCGACTTAGGGCTTTGTCTTGCCAGAAGCTACATGTGGATGCAAAATGTCTCTGGTCTAGAGGAAGACGCCACAGTTTACCCGTTTTCTGATAATTGGTGGTTATTCACCCCCTTCCCCCAGTGGAGATGAGGAGGTAACTAACATGACGGGCAATCCAAAAAGCCTCTCTCCTGATGCCTTTATGCGAGTGGAACCATGGCTTGCAGATTTCCTTTAGCTTTCTTACATGGTGCTTGGTCGTGCCTGATTGCAATAGCATTGCTAGGACAGGATCAGGCATAGGGGACACAGGGTATGTTTTTCCTCTGTGATAAATGGCGGCTGATCCGGTGACTGCCATTATTTCCTAGTGGATAGAGGCAGTGTCAGGAATAGTGCCAGTGGGCTTGTAGGAGACAGACACGCATCGTGTAACTTGAACTGAAGGGGGCTGTGCGGCACAGGGTACAGAGAGATGCGGCCTGAACAGAGCAGGAAGACACGGGTGTATGTAGAGGCCGTGCGTCCCGAGGACATGAGAGTGTGTGTGGGGACAGGGCCAGGACAATACAGATGTGGGTGACAGAAGACTTAGGGCTTACACAGTCTTCTTAGGCCTGTAGGAGCCAAGTTTCACAAAGTGTTTACGGCGAGCAACTATAGTTATTTAATGTGTGGTTGAGAGAATAGGGTCACGTCACAGTATCATCCATAGTGATTATAGTATTTTGTACTTAGGTCTAGAAATAGGGAGCAAATCACGCACCGTGTCAGTTAACTGGAAAAGGACATAAAAATTCTTGTACGCAAGTATGCTTATGTTAGACGTGGCTCTGTGCCCCATACAGATGGGATCTGGGTCTATGGGGCGGCCAGGAACCTGTCACACGCTACATCTGCGGGGTGGCTGGGGGCCTGTCTGTCTGGTTATATCAGGCTCTATTGCGTAGAAACTGCAAGGGCGGCTTATGGCCTGTGTGCACGTGTGGATGGGTGCCTGTGCCAGCGTGTGTATGTGTGTGCAGTGTCTCAGCAGGACAGCAGACGTTTTGGGTGCTGGGCTCCCACATTAAGCCTAGAGAAGATAGGAAATGTGCGGGTCCAAGGGCAGCTGTGGGTTCCGTAGGCCCCTGGGACCTTCTCTAGGCCAGCCACCTGCCAACTTCTTCCAGCAGGACTTGGGGCTGCTTCTCACAGACTTGCGTCGGGAGACCTTGGTTTGAGTTCACCTGTACCATTTGCTTAAGAAGTCTGAACAAGTGCCTAGGTTATGTGACCTTCACTTTCCTCATCTGCAAGTGTCTCTTGTATGTCCCTAAAAATCCTTCCAGGTCATGAATCCTACATTTCTCTTTTCTTCTTTCTCTTTCCTTAGCAGTAATTACAATCCCTAACGCTTCTGTGACCCTTGAAGTTGACACTGTACATTTGAATGTTATTTGATCTTCGTTAGAACTCCTTGCAAAGAAAGAATTTAAACCCTTTTTAAAGATAAGAAAATGGCCGTTCCAATAAATTGCAGGATTCCTACAACTGTCTGAAATTACAATGAGCAGAACTAGCAAGATATGTAAAAGACCGAGCTAAAAATCGAGTGACGTTCTTTTAACTCTGTTTTCTTCCTGTCTTCATCCATGCAATAAATCTTTGTGGCAAGCAAAGGAAGCTGCAGGCAAAGAGACTGAGCAGCTAACATGGCAGTGTTTGAGCCCTGATGAAGTTCATTCTCTAGCCCGGAAAATAGACATGAACTTGGTAATTACAAGTGCAGTGAGTGTGAGAGAAATAAAGGGTTCACTGGGGCAGAAGAGGATGCCGGGCACAGGAGCAGCAGAGGCCCACAGCATGGGAGTAGGGGGTTCGGGGGCAGAGGGCAGTAAGGCAGAGGCCAGGCGTGGAGGGCATATAATCCAGGCTAAATGTTTGGGTTTCATCCCATTGGCGGTCGGAGGCCACTGAAGAATTTAAACTACAAATGGGGCTTTTCAGGATCACTCCCATGCAGAGCAGAGAATGCCTTGGGAATAGGGCAGGAGGGGCGCCTGGGTGACTCAGTTGGTTAAGCATCTGACTTCAGCTCAGGTTACGATCTCGCCATCTTGCCGTCCGTGAGTTCGGGCCCCGTGATGGGCTCTGTGCGGACAGCTCAGAGCCTGGAGCCTGTTTCAGATTCTGTGTCTCTCTCTCTCTCTCTCTGCCCCTTCCCCGCTCGCACTCTGTCTCTCTGTCTCTGAAAAATGAATAAACCTTAAAAAAAATTTTTTTTTTTTTTTTAAACAGGGCAGGAGAAGCTCTGTGGAGGCTGGTGGGCAGGCTGTACCCCAGGTGGCCTGGTAACAGAGGACAGGAGAGCGCACCAGGGGCTAGCAGTGCGGATGGAGAGATGTGCACAGACGTGAGGTGCATAGGAGGTGGGCTCAACAGGACTTGGCAACGTGTGCGATACGGGGCAGGTGAGGCCAGGAGGGAAACAAGAATTTTGTTCTGTAATTGAAAACCATTTACTGAGCACTTAATGTGGGCCGGGTGTTGTGCTAGGTGGAGACAGTTGAGCGAGACGGATGTAGCTCTTGATCTTGTGAAGCTTACCCCCTGTTATTTGGGATAGATGGTAAATCAAGATGCACACAGAATGGTAACCGTACAAATGCTACAGAGAAGTGACGTGAACGATCTCTGGTAAGTGGTAGACAGAGGGGCACAGTGACCTGGTCAGAGGACTGGGAAATCTTCCAGGGTTAAACCAGGAGTATGTAGTCTCGCAAATAACAACAAAGAGTGCTAATGTTAGGAGTATCCAGTACCGACAAGAGCCACGACATTGGCGATTGTGGGGGCGGTGGGTAGAGCGGTACCAGTGAGGCACGGATAGAGGCAGGTGGGGAGGTGAGGAGGTGAGGACCACACGCATGAACAATTCTTTTACAGTTCAGATGAGAAAGCCAGGGCCATGCTTCAGTTGTGGGATGGCTCTGACAGAGAGGGGGCGAGGGGTGAGAAGAAGAGAAAATCCATGCCACAAGAAGCCGGGCTAAAGAACAGGGCGCCTCGGGGCAGGGACGCCTCTTGTGCCTTCAGAGCAGGAAGCAGGAAGAGTGGAAAGAGCCAAACGCAGAGCGCTCTGAATCACGAGGAGTTGAAGCCTCACCTCTCTCCATTGGTTTCTAAATTCTTCGCAAGGTGGGGGATGTGGTATTCTTTTGGAAGTGAGAAGACAGGTGGGAAGGTCGATCTTCTGAGAAGTGATGGGAGGAGTTCATAAGGTTGAAAGCAGCGGGGGTGTAAGAGAGTAGCGGGTACCCACCCAGCAGGTGTCCTGGACCTGGCAGAAAGGGGCAAGCACCATGTCTGCTCTGGTTCTAATCTACTGAGTCTAGTTATCATTCCGCTTTACAACAGCTGCTTCTAAAATTGCATACAAAATTAATAATGAGTTATAAGGCCCTGCTAGACACTCTAGAAGAAAATAAGATGAGTAAAATCCAGACTGTACGTAGGGAGATAACACTACGCCCGAGTACCTCGGACTCACTTGCTGCAATGGCCGGACCTATTTTAATCCAATCAGCAGCTTTGGAGGAAGATGCCGCCTTCAGACTCTGCTTCTCTGGGCTGTTAGATCTAGGGTGTGTCACTCACAGTGTCTGGGAGTTATAGGGGACTGAGTCACGCTTGGTGTCCAGAGAGTAGACCGGGAGAGACAGTATGACCTAATGCAATCTAGAGAGTAATGACCCCTGGGAGTCCTTGGTGCTCTTTGACAACGGTCTCACCCTCTAATTGAATCATTTATTATCTGTCTCCTCCACAAGCCTCCATGAGGACACAGTCTTTCTCTGTCCTGTCCACTGAATGCCCCGCACTTAAATATTGGTAAATATTTATTACATGGGTAAATAAATAAGCCTACATACATTTTATAGAGGCTTTTGCTTACTTTGTTGAGTATCTTTTGTCTCAAAGAATGACTCTAAGTGGAACCAAAGAAATCCCCCACTCGTCCTTTCTGCTGTGTTCCTTTGATAGGTAGAAGCAGAAAGGGTGATGGACACTTTCTGTTTTGTTCCTCTCTAGGGCTTCGCCCTGATGCGGGCTGAGGAGCCCCCACTCAGGGCCTCAACCCCCATCCCTGCCATAGCAGAGCTCGGTGTTACCCCTGAAGCCCTCAGGGGGAGCAGTCAGACCGCCGCCTGGGGGCCCGAAGGTCGAGAAGGCTAGGTGCCATCCTGTACCTGGGCAGAGCGACGCAGACTCTCGGAGACGCAGCAGAGAGACCTAAGGGATGTGGACAGCTGTGCAGCTGAGAGCATGACCTCGTTCCCCAAGGAAGCCTCTGCAGGTGCGGAGACCAACCAGGAGGACGCTGCGGGTGAGACCTGGGGCACTCCAGAGCATCCGGAGGTGGCGCCTCAGAGCCCGGAGGACGGACGGGCAAGGACACGGGTTCCCGCAGAGCCCGGGGCCTGTCCTGCCCAGGATGAACACCTGGACGTGGTCCCGGTATCCAGTGAGCTGGGTGGCCGCGTGGAGATGGAATTTAGACCAGAACTCACTTCTTTGATTTGGGGAACGGAACATGCAGAAGAGAAGGGGGAGACTTTTCCAGACACCTCTGCTCGGCCCAGATTTGGACCTGCCTGGGAAGAGCATCTGTCAGAAACCAACCAGCCACGGGGCTCCGTCAGGCAGGGGGAAGAGCTGCGGTCTCTGGGGGCGCAAGAAGGTCAAGGGAGAGGGGCACTCGAGGGGCTGGAGGAGCAGGGGCTAGCGGAAGTGGGGTTCCAGGACGGAGGAACTGTCAGGGAGGGTGGGCATGTAGGGGAGCAGGAGCAACTGGCAGAGCCGGAGAAGGGGACGGAGGGAGGACACGGGCAAAGCCAGGAACAGACACCAGGTGATGTGATGCTCACAAAACAGAGAGAAAGAACGAGGCTTTGTGGGGAACTGGAAAGTCTGCGCTATGGTGAGGAGGAGAGGAAGCCTCGGGGCCAGCGAGGTCTACAGCAGGGAGAGGAGGGGAGGAGGGCGTTAGGGGGGACAGAAGAGGGGAGCGTGGACGCCCCGTATGAGGAGAATCAAAGCCTGGTGGGGAAATCAGGGAGAGTAACTGGAAGGCAAGAAGGTCAAGGTCTGCGGGGGCAAGTGATGCCGGGGGAGGGGCAGGTAGAGGAGGCGGGGTCAAGTGAGGAGGAACCAGGGAGTTGGGTTGGGGACCCGCTGTGGGGAGAGGGCAGACAAGAGAGTACCAGAGAAGGGGAGGCCCATGATGGTGTTTCCACACTGGCTCTGGTAGCCCCTGAGGTCTCTTCTCCCTGTGACTTATTTCTAGACGCCTGTTACCCCATGACCAGTACTCCTGGGACTCAGAAGGAGCCTCGGGCTGAGGAACTATCCCCTACAGCTCTGGGTCCTACACTGGAGCCAGGAGGATGGTCCTGCCAGCCCGTTTCTTTACCTGGCTCTTTTCCTGCTGGGGAGTCACCTGACCAAGAAGCAGCTCAGGATAGCCAGCAGGAGGGATCTGAGCCTGGGAAGGGGACGGTGTTCGGCTTGGGGACTGAGATGGCCGCTGCCAGTACAGCCGGGACTCCTCCAAGGACACCAGACTCAGCTCCTTCCAGTCCTGCTGAAGTTTCCCCCAGCACAACTACATCATCATCTGCCAGCTCCCCACTTGCCTCTCCCAGGAGGGAGCCGTCTCTTGCTGCACATTCTCTAGAAACCTCCAGAGCATCTGTTTGGACCAACAGGGCATCTCACTGTGGGGCTTTGGAGACTCCCGCTGCTGCCCTCCATGGCTTCCCCTCTGCAGAGGCCGCCGTGGAAATCTCCACCAGCCCCAGTTGGACCAGCCCTCAGAGCCCCCCCAGCCACCCTACAGGGGCTGTCCAGCACCTGAGGAGCAACTCCTTCCCGGGCTCTCATAGGACAGAGCCGACTCCGGACCTGCTGGGAATATCACTTTCCTTCTCCCATTCAGAGTTGCCCCAGAGGCCCCCCAAACCTGCCGTCTCTGGCTCTGTGACTCCAAGAAGGGACAGGAAAGGTGGTAGGGACCACAGGATCATTCCAGAATCCCCTAGTTCATTATCCACTCTGGGGCAAGACTCTCAAGAGTTCACTTCAAATCCAGAAATGTCCAGCAGTCCCCACAGCAGCCAGCCGTGGGGCTCCCCACACACTTCAGCCTTTTCCCCAGGGCCTCCTGCCTATGGCTCTTCCCCACCCCTTGTCTCTGTAGATACGAGGATCCATGAACCTCTGCCCCCTCCTACCCCAGAGAAGAGGCATGTCCAACCCTCCATGGTGGAAAGAGACAGCCATCTCCATGCAGGGGTTTCCACACTGAAACGGTGTGCCCATCCTCTTCCATTGGCCCCAGGTTTGGGGCTACATGGCCCCCCCAAAGGCCCACTTCCCCCAGTTCCTGACCCCCTTGTGGCAAGGCAGCACCGACCTCTGCCCTCTATCCCAGACACGCCCCACCCTCCTCAGACCTCGTTCTCCCGCAAACTGAGATACAACAAGCCATTACCCCCAACCCCTGATTTGTCCCAGTCCCACCATCCTGTTTCTTTTAGTAGTGCAAGGATCTACAGGCCTCTACCCCCTGTCCCTATCATGGATCCCCCCACTGAACCACCCCCATTACCCCCAAAGTCCAGGGGGAGGAGCAGGAGCACTCAGGGAGGACTCATGAATTCAGGGGGTCAGGGCAAGCCAAGGCCTGTTTGTCAAGAGTGGACAGTCTCCACTCCCCATTCTGTTGGACGTACCTCCTGGCCCCCAGCTATGGGTCGGTCGACAGACTCTTTGGCTTCTACCAGCAGGAATAAGAGTGAAGTGTCCCCTGGCATGGCTTTCAGCAACATGGCAACCCTTCTGAGTCCCTCTTCCCCAACCACGCCCTGGAATCTGGAACTCCAGGGACCTGCCTCTGAACCAGGACCCTCAGAAGAGTCTGAGGCCCCTGCCAGAGGGTCTTCGAGAACAGCCCCTCAGGAAGGAGCCAATGGCCTGAGGAGGTTGGGTCGAGGCCAAGCAAGGCAGTCAGACAAAGTCAGCCATCCCCACCTGGAGAAGGCATCCAGCTGGCCCCACAGGCGAGACCCAGGGAGACCCCCGGAGGGCGGCAGCGGGCAGGTTGCAGACCCCGGCGAGGGGTCCAGTAAGCACAAGGGCTGGAATCGGCAAGGCCTGCGCAGGCCTTCTATCTTGCCTGAGGGCTCTTCAGGTGAGCAAAGAGCAGGGATCATGGGGACACTCGTGTCGGACCACGCTTTCTCCAGCTCTTTCCACCTCACTCATCTTCTGTCCCCAGGGCTTCTGCTCTTCCCTCTGCTGGCTTCACTCATCCACATACCCAGCCTCAACTCAAGAGTGTTGTGGTGCTCACTGGAGCACTCTGCCTTCTCCTTCCCCTCTACCCCTGTCACCCACCATGGTGTTCTTTTATTGTGTTTGTTTTTCCCAACTCTTCAGCTCGGTGTCCTCCTAGTAGTAGAGGACACTTCCTCTTCTTGTCTTCTGACACCAGGGACGAGGACATTACCCGGCAATCGTGTCCTCGCATGCTTTCTGCTTGGGCACTGTCCTCCCGGCTGAGCCCTCATATCCCCCCAGATGCCTACGTCTCCCACTTTAGGTCTTTCCTGCTTTGGCCGTCAGAGTGTGCCTCTAAAACCCCGTTACTCCACCATTTCCATTTTCAGAGACGAAAGGTCCAGCCGTAGAAAAATCCCCTGGCTCTTCAGACACCATCGTTTTTCGGTGAGTCATGTTTTCTCCTAATAGACACACTTGTACTGTCTCTTCGGAGGATACCGAGATTTCCATTAGTTGCCAGGGGTTCTGGGACCCTGTCTCTTCCAGAGATGGGGAGGGGAAGAGACATAGGCCAGGATTCCAGAGCAAGGGCATCTTTTATCTTCCTGGTTCCGTCAGCTGGGTCTGAATGTCCCATCCTCCTAGGTAGGCCCGTTAGCCATGAACTAACCGCCCCGTGAAAGTTCAGTATGTCTTCCAGAAAAGCTCTGAACTGCCTAAAAATGGGTCGGGCCACAACTTGCCTCTTCAGGGGATTCAGCCCTGACACCCCAGCACACGTCCCAGAAATCAGAGACTACCTCATCTATAGTCACCTGGGGCTTCTCTGCCTCAGTGGCCAGCAAGCACCCCAGAGCCCTGCTTGCCTCCACAGGGAGAAGAAACCAAAGGAGGTGTTGGCAGGCTTTTCAAGACGCTGCTCGAAGCTCGTCAACTCCTGTGAGTACCTTGAAACAAAACCGTAGACCCGCGTGGCTTGCTGCCCAGCACTGGCGCTCGGGGCTCCCCACTGCGGGGTGGTGGCATCTGCGGGGAGAGAGGATTGCCAGGAGAGCCAGAAGCAGCTTGACGGCTTCTGTCTCTGTGCCTCAGCGTCCCCGTCTCTCTCGTTCTCTCCCTCTGCCGTGCTGCCTCGCCCCTGCAGCCCATCTGCTTTACCAGGAGTACAGCGATGTGGTTCTGAACAAGGAGATTCAGAGCCAGCAGCGGCTGGACAGCCTGGGAGAGGCGCCCGGGCCCGCCTCCCCGCGGCAGCCCCGGAGGGCCCTGGTCTCCTCGGAGTCTTACCTGCAGCGCCTGTCCGTGGCCTCCAGCGGCTCCCTCTGGCAGGAGATCCCGGTGGTGCGCAATAGCACCGTGCTGCTCTCCATGACCCACGAAGACCAAAAACTGCAGGAGGTACCGGGCAGGGCAGGGGCGGACTGGAGGGAAAGCAAAGGCTCTCATTTCCTGCTCGCTACCGCCACCGGCCGCAAGAGCAGGCCGCCCCCATCACAAACCCACCATGTGCCCCTGCACCACGGCTATCGCTCCTCTCCGCTCCTCTCCACTCTGATGCGTCTGAACTGCTTTCTGAACCTTCCCGCTGGCCCTCCTCCCCGCTTGCACTCGGCACGGGCCACTTCCTCCCACCTGTCACTATTTGGGCTCGTAGGAAGTGACTGTGCCTCTGAATTTGTTGGGAGGAGTGTGGAATTAATCCCTTCTCTGCTGCTTCAGTCTAGGCTAAAATTTCCCTCTTCAACCAGGGTTCCGCACGACACTGCAGGTTTTCTCTTCAACCAAAGCACCTGCAGTGGCTCTTTTGCTGAGTCCTTTGTAGCTGTCCTGTGGTCCACTGGTCTCCTAGAGGCTTTGGGATGACCATCAGTTCGCAGCTCGGTCCTTAGACCCAGTGGCAAGGCTGTTCGGTGTTTATTACCGTTAATGGGTTTTACGTGGAGAACTGCTCTTAATAATCAATCTGAAATAGGGTTAGAACCTTTCTTCCCAGGAAGACAATATGGCACCATGGAAAGGCATCACGGAATCATGTTTGTGTATCTGGCTTCCGGAGTAAATGACCTGGTTGTGAGCCCACTTCTCTGTTTGCTGGCTCTTTAACTTTGACCAGATTACTTGCTCTTTCTACCTCTCTGTATTGCCATTCGTAAAACTGGGTCACCAATAGTCAGTGGGAGAACCAAAAAAGGTAAGTGCCCAATGCACAGTAGTCACCCAAGAAATGTTTTCTACTGTACTTTAATTTCAAGTCAGGCCAACCTGGGTGTGAATCCTGGCTTCACCATTTACTAGCTGTGTGACTGCAAGTTCGATAACTTCACTAAACCTGTTTCCTCACTTAAAACTCGAGGACACTGATGTCTTCCTTTCAGGGTGGCCATGTGGTTTAAATGAAATGTCCCTGTCTGGCTTTTAGTGTGAAGTCTGGTGCCTAGTTTGATACATATTACTGCCAGATTCTCCCTCTCTCGGAGGTGGGAAGGAGGAAAATGTTGGCCAGAAGGACTTAGAGATAAGCAAATCAAACAGAGGCAGCTATAAATTGTTTAGGTTTTTTGAGGCTCAGGCTTGGGGCTCTTGTTCTGACCTCAGCTTGTCAAGCACACAGAGGATATGTAGAAAGTCAGTGATCTGCCCAATACTTAAGGACCAAACACCAGGAGAGCGTTTGGACCCTGGCTCTCTCACCAACTCCAGCATACTGGGGAGCCCACCAGGGCTGCTGGGCCAGCCCTGGTGTCCGTTTCTGAGAAGAGAAGCCTCTGTGCTTATATGCACATAGTCCTTTCATAAAATAGCACTTCTGGGGTCTACGAAGTGCTTGCACCAACCCCATTTCTGGTGACTGGCACAACGTCCTTATGACATGGGGGTCACTGTACCTACACAAAAAGGCAAGAAGCTCTGAGGTTCAGTGAGGTTAAATGAGCCACTCCAAGTCCTGTCGCCAGTTGAATGTTGGAACCAGGACTCAACCGTCATTACCAGGGTCATTACCCAGGTGTGTGCGTGTGTCTTCTTTGCCTTTTCTGTTCTGTTCGTGCATCTACCCCGAAGCTGCAGGCTTGGATGAAGGGTAGGGGTGGCCCAGCGCGAGGACAGGGCCGTGAGCCATTGCGCCCCCTGCTGGAAAGTCCACACAAGTTCTCACGTGCTGGCCCTTCTCCGTTAAACCTCAACAGCACCAACTCGTTCTCAGATATCCTCTTTGCGCCCGTGTTTCCCCAAACCTCAAATCACCTTCATCCCCTAAATCTGTTCCTCTTTCAAAGTCCTGTGGCTCAGAGAGTGAGTCAGTCCGCCATTCATTCAGCTACCAAACTCCAAAGCTGACACATTAGCTGTGACTCCGTCTGCTCTTCCAGCCCCCGTTTCTAGCAAAGAACCAAGTTCTTCCGGATCTGCCTCCTCAAAAGTTACGAAACTGGCCCACCTCTCCCATCCCCGTGGCCATTCAGGCTTCCATCTGTCACCCGGAATTACTACGACAGCTTCCTAACGTGACACCCCTGCCCCTTCGGCTCTTTTCTCCATGCCGTGCTCAGAAATAGCCTTTACGGAAACCAAATCTGATCAGGTTATTTCCCTACATAAAGCCTCTTTTAACCTTCCCGTTGTCTTAAGTCCAAACCGTTTTACCTTGTTTACGGAATCCTCCAGACGACACCCCATTTACCTCTCCAGCTCCAGCTCCTGCCCCTCCTTTAGTATAAATACTTAGTTCCCCAAATCACTCAGTTTATTTAAGCTTCTTGAAAGTATCTTTTTCTCTTCTACCTTTAGGGGCTTGTACACATTCTTCCCTCGGCCTCGAATGCTCTGTCCCTGTCCTCCTGATACCAGGTTAGGCTCTGATGTGACTGCAAGCTATCAGAGAGGGTCTGCCCCCTTCCCTGCTCTGCCCCTCGAACGTTATGCAGTGGCTAGCAAATGCCAGGAACTCCAGAACGATGTTATGTTATGTTATGTTATGTTATGTTATGTTATGTTATGTTTGTTTTTTTATGTTATTTTAATGTTTATTTATTCTTGAGAGAGAGAAAGAGCAAGCCTGAGCCGGGGAGGGGCAGAGAGAGAAGGGGACAGAGGATCTGAAGCCAGCTCCGTGCTGACAGCAGCGAGCCCGACGTGGGGCTCAAACCCACAAACCGTGAGGTCATGACCTGAGCTGAAGTCGGACGCTCATCCGGCCGAGCCACCCAGGCGCCCCTCGGTGACTATTTTTAATCAATCTCCTCTCCTACCCTCCAGGCCAAATTCGAGCTGATCGTGTCAGAAGCCTCATACCTGCGCAGTCTGCATGTGGCAGTGGACCATTTCCAGCTTTCTGCCCCACTGCGGGCCACCCTTACCAACCAAGAATACCAGTGGCTCTTCTCTCGTTTACAGGACGTGCGTGAAGTCAGCACCACGTGAGATTCCTCTTGTCCCAAACTCAGCCTCGGTGTCTTTAGCCTGTAAACTGTCAGTTGGGTTTTCTTTTCTCTCAGAAACCCTCTCCTTGCTCTCCCTCCATGATTCCCAGCGCTGTGGGAATAGGGAGAGCAAAGAAGGGGAGAAGGTATGCGGGCGGGTAGATCCGTTAACGGGTAAACAGAGGAATGAGAGATGCTTCCCAGGTTGAGGGGATGCACTGGAGGTGGGATATGGGCAACAGGTGAAGATCAGAGAGCCAGAGCAGAACCAAAAGAAGAACAAGAAATGGAATATAAGGAGCAGAGGGTTAGATCGGGGCAAACTAGGGATTGCCTTGGAGAGAACGCTAGAGCGCGGCAGGGGCACCGAGCTAAGGACAGTCAGTAGAAGTTACCGCCTAACAGGAAGAAGGAGTCACAAACTCAAGGTGTAGGAGGGGTCCGTCAGCTGCTCACGTGAGGCCCCCAAGTCTCATGAGACGTGTGTGAATACCGTACAGGTTCCTTTCAGACCTGGAGGAGAACTTCGAGAACAACATCTTCACCTTCCAAGTGTGCGATGTGGTCCTGAACCATGCCCCCAACTTCCGCCGGGTCTACCTGCCTTACGTCACCAACCAGACCTACCAGGAACGCACCTTCCAAGTCCTGCTGTGAGACCTGATCCCTCTTCAGTCCCCACGCGAGCCCTGCAGTGACCTTGCTGCACTAAAACCCCCGGGCCCCAATCCCGAGCAGCATCCCAAGAGCCCATGTTTCTTGTGCCTGCTCTGTGATCCCAACCCCTAAGCACCTTCCGGGTCAGACGCCCTCAGCCGTCACATGTGGGTGCCCCCACCATAGACATTCCACTGCATCTCTACTCCCTGTGCCTCCACTGTGTCCCCAGTCCTCCCCACGGCCCTCCTCACTGGAGGCTCGCTGCCCACGCAGGAACAGCAACAGCAGCTTCCGGGAGGTTCTGGAGAAGCTGGAGAGCGATCCTGTCTGCCAGCGCCTTTCCCTCAAGTCCTTCCTGATCCTGCCTTTCCAGCGCATCACCCGTCTCAAACTGCTGCTTCAGGTACAACACGTTCCCCCCCCCCCCCCGCCTCCACCCTGTCCCCCAGACCTCTTCCTAACACCCGAAAGAGATGATCTCCGGGAGCCCCAGGGCCCGGGACCATGCATGCTTCTGCCCCTCTTCCACACCCTGTGGACCACGTGAGCCTTCTTCTGCCCACCGCCCTCACCGTTCTCCCTCAGGGTGGATTTGCTGCAAAAATTTGGTTCCTAGACTTCAGTAGCTTACCCACAATTCTCTCTTCCTGTTTTCCCGTCCCTTCTTTCCATCTGGCTCCTGCTTACTGTTTGTCCTACAGAACATTCTGAAGAGAACACAGCCTGGCTCTTCAGAGGAAGCAGAAGCCACCAAGGCACATCATGCCTTGGAGGAGGTAAGCAGCCACCACCCCCACTCAGATGCCCAGGATTGTCCTTCACAGAGAATTCTTCTGTGCAGGCCCGTGACTCCAGAGAGCAAGGGTCCCTCTCTCAGCCACCTCACTGTACCCACCAAACCTCCAGACACCAGCCCCCTCCCCCCAGCCTCCTTCCCACACTGAGGATGCTCTACACCAAGGGGCCATGCTGTCACTGCCACCAGCCCCAGATTAAATCTTACATCCACTCCGCCCCGGAATGGCGTCAGGTCATACAAAATATACCCGAGGCCTAGAACTGCCATTTGGTGCTGCCCTCACACCATTCCAGCCTGCTAGAAAAGACGGAGGCCGTCACAACCAACTTCCAGATTTCTTGCAGAGGACTCAAAGATCAAAGCCTCTAACACAGTGCTCTTCCTCTTTCCTCAACCTACCCACGGTTCAGCTGATCCGAGACTGCAACAACAATGTCCAGAGGATGCGCCGGACAGAGGAGCTCATCTACCTGAGCCAGAAGATTGAGTTTGAGTGCAAAGTGAGTTGGTCCCCTGCACCCCCACCCTGCCTGGGAAGCCACCACAGGCCAGCCTCTAGCGTAGAACCATCTTGCTCGCGCCGTCCCGGTCTCTGCCCTTACTGCTGTGTGTCTTCTATTCTGGCCTGTTTCTGGGACACCCAAATGCCTACTTCAGTCTCTGTGGTATATTGTTAATTGAAAAGGGAAAGACACAGAGCTGTGCGTACCGTAGCATATTACTGTGGGTACAGATCTGTGCGTGCATTTGCTTGTGTCTACGTGGAGATAGGCTGGAAGGGACACATGAGAAAGGTAGGACAGGGGTTACCTGAGGGGGAGAACGTGCATTTGGGAATGGGACAGGTGAGAGAGAACCTATCAGTGTAAGCCTTGATGACAATAACATTTGGTACTTAAATCAGTCAATATTTGATCAAGTCTTCATCTAATCTAACCAACGCAATGGGAAATGGATTCCAAATATAGGGCCAAAATCTCCCATCAAAATACAAATGTAAAATAAGCATTCCGCATTCAGATTCCACCTCAGAACAGGTCCCATCCTCATTTCCCTCGAAGAGAGGGGAATCCTTTATCCCCGTATTAATTGTATTCCAGCACCCCTGTCTTTACCCAACTTCCAACTCCGAGCAGACCCCACCTACTTCTCCTTATCCCTATTCCCACATATGACCCCAGCTGCTCCTGTTATGTCTCTGGTTATAATCAGAGAAAGAACAAATATCAGAACTGCACAAATCCTTTAACTTCTGAGACACGCAGCATACGGTTCCCTGCCGTGTTCCTTCACATGCCTCGACTGGGGTCATCCAGTTCTCCTTCAGTTCAGGCTTCTAGGGCTGGGCTTTGTCACATCGTCACTGTCCTGGGTTGGAGCGTAGGCACCTTCTGTTCGCCTGATGGGTGGACGTGGGGGCCACACAGTAGACAGTGGTAGGTAGAGGGCTCTGGGAGGAGCAGTCTAAGTGGATGGGTGATGAACAGGAAGGATGATGTGGAAGAGGGTGTCAGTGGCGGAAGCCACGAGGAAGAGGCATGGTGAGGAGGGCGGGACCAAGGAAGCCTCTCGCTTGCCCTGTCGGTGACGCCCTGCCTTTTCTGTCCTCCCCTCCCTGTAGATATTCCCGCTCATATCGCAGTCACGCTGGCTGGTGAAGAGTGGAGAGCTGACGGCCCTCGAGTTCAGTCTCTCCCCAGGGCCGCGAAGGAAACTGAACACGCGTCCAGTTCACTTGCATCTCTTCAACGACTGTCTGTTGCTGTCTCGGCCCCGAGAGTCAGTGACTAGAACGGGAGGGAAAGGGGATGGGGCCAGAGGGCAGGACTAAAAGGGACAGTAAAGGGTCGTGTTCCTGGGGGAGCCCTTTTCAGTGGCTCAACCCATGGAGTGCAGGTCATGGGCTAGAGAGGAGAAAGAAAGGTCCGAAGCAAAAAAGGGGATCCCACCAAATTATGTCACAAGATCACGTGGCAGGGCCTGAACTATGTTGTAGACATGGAGCAAAATGTAGCAAATGAGCTGCTCGCATTCTCAAATTAGCGTGTTTGGGCTAGACTCAGCCTACTAGTCTAGAGGTTCTTAGCCAATTCCAGATCCTAACTCTTTGGTCCTAAGGGCTTTAGAAAATTTGTATTGATTTGATCTCTTCAACTCTTTAAAGTGGTGAAGTATTCATTGTACTAGACATGTGGTTTCCCAGCTCTGTGACAAATCCCTGGGGACTCTGGAGCCACCATCTTGGGAACAAGGTAGCACCATCTCGTGGTTTTTATGAGGATTTGCAAGCTGCAAAGGACAGGGATTTTGAATCCAAAGGTATGATGGTGGATAAGCATAACAACTGTAGAATCAAGTTGAAAAGCCTCGTATTTTGCAGGGGTAGCCGGTTCCTGGTATTCGACCATGCTCCCTTCTCCTCCATCCGAGGGGAAAAGTGTGAAATGAAGCTACACGGACCTCACAAAAACCTCTTCCGGCTCTTCCTGCTGCACAACGCACAGGGCACGCAGACTGAGTTCCTCTTCAGCACAGAGACCCAGTGAGATGGGGCTGGGCAGAGGAGTCGGGGGGAGGGAGGAAGGGAGGACAGCCTGGGAAGAAAGTGGGGCTGAGGCAGAAACTGTGTCCAGAGGACAGCCGCAGCACGATCTAGCCCATTCCGGACTGAGAGCATCCGAGGAGAAATCCAAACCCAAACTCTGAGCTAATAGACGACTTGCAGGAGACGGGGTGGGAAGGGGTACAGAGTTGCTGCCGATGTTTAGCATCTATTTTCTGCTCTTCAGTCAAGAAGGACAAAGTGAGCGAGACAACAGAGAAGAGACGGGCTGGTATGGAGTAACTAAAGAATTGAATTACTGACGTCCACGAGTCATGTGTATAAGCCAGAAACTCTTCAGTGCCGAAGGCTGGTGGACACTTTGTGACTAAGACAAGCACTGGGGTGTCTTTAGCTTTCCTCCCTCCCACTTTCCAACCCAGGCCTCTGTTGAGCAGAAATCCATAGTGTTGACAACTGTGATTTGCTCATGTTTTTAGTAATAATAATATAATAATAATAATATACACTATTATATATTATAATATATTATGTTATATATTTTATAATATATCATATTATATAATTACATTATTATAATATAATACACACACATACATTTTGGGGAGTATTAAAAATAATACCTATAAAATGTAGTAACAGTGCCTAAAACAATGAACAAACTCTAAGCTCATAGCTGTTGCTGCTGTTACAAGAGATACAAGAAGCCTCTCCCTTTAAAGGTTTGACGTGATGCCAAACGGTCTGAGGATCGATCCCTATGTTGTAGATACTTTTCCATTTTGTCTCTTGGAAGACATCTCTGGGTAGGATCGACCTTACCCGTCTTCACTTATGGAATAGAGGGGCTGGTACAGGGGTTTGTATGCAAACTGTGACCACAGTCAGGTAGCCAGATACAGACTCCTGTTCTTTGTTTAGTATTTGGGGCAGCCTCTTCCTGGAATAGAAATAGTGTCAGCTCTCAATTACTCCAGCGTTTTTGGAAGCAGAGGCTAAGATAATGCAAAATCCTTCAGATGATTACAAAATCAGCTTGGGTTATATTGCACGACCAAAAAAAAAAAAAAAAATAGCACAGATATCTCCCCGATCTAATTGTGATTACAAAATATTTTTCATCTCTGAAGTATTTGGCGGAAGGGAGGTGGGGAGTAGAGTGTAGAGAATTCTGCAGAGTGATAGTGGGGATCTAAACTAAGACGGACATCTTGCTTATTACAAAATGGAAAATCTCATGTGTCTAATTGACAGCTGACATTATGTCCCCACTTGAAAGATATGCCATTAAGAGGGTAAGCCTGGAAAGAGAAGGAGAAAAATAAAGGGTGACAAAACACATTAACACACAGTTGGAGATCTTCTATTTCCAACCAAGCAAAGTCCCATTGACTTTTGTGCTTGATGTCATTGAACTAAACAATGCTTTGAACTGGCCAAGTCTTTCCCACAGTCATTTCCCTACCCCATCCTTGGCCTTTGTCCTCTACCCCAGAGCTACAGCTGAAGCAGCTGACCCTGCTTTGTTTTCTCAGAAGTGAAAAGCTTCGATGGATCTCAGCCTTGGCCATGCCCAGAGAGGAGTTGGACCTTCTAGAGTGTTACGGTGAGTGAGGGTATAAAAGGCAGAGAAAAATGGCAGGGCCAGAAGTCACCTTTGGATGCAGGACTTTAGGAGGCTGGGTGGTAACTCTGAGAACCTTCCACTTATTGCTTTTATCCAGAATTTCAGAGTGGAAGTCTGGCCATTGGAGCTTAAGCAGCTGAGATGATTCACCTAAGACTACTCACCACTATGGCACCACCTCCTCTGCCGTGTATCTTCTCCCTTGGGCCATAATTTGCTCTTTTTAAATATTTATCCCTGTAAATCTATCCTGCGATTATTCTGCCTAGATTTTACCCGCCTGAATGTCTTGGGGAAATAGGGAGAAATAGGATGGTTGGAGTAGGAGTTGTGGAAGAAAGCAACCCAGTAAATCTGTCATAACCACACCCTGTCCTGTGAAGAATGACCTGAGCTCACCACCCTTAGCCCAGGCTTCCAGATAGCCACAGACATACACGCACATTATGCATGTGTCTGGCATTCATGTGAAGAGTAGATTTCTGGGTCTCCCAAAGCCCCACAGTTGTCCTTCAGCGAGAATTCCCTAACTGGTATCCAGAGAGGAACTGAGCACAAAGGAACACTGGTGACTCAAAAGAACAAACAAATACAAAGAACCTCTGAAAAGGAAGTAGGAGAACTCAGGTTGTAAACTGAGTTCTATTACCTTATTCACTCTGTGAACCCATCTGCTGGCCTTCGTCCCCCAGCTGGAAGGAAGGCAAGATGTCCTCCTTCACTGTGGTCTTATGAGTGGCAGATTGGAGATAAGCTTTAGAAAATGGATCAGGGTGCCTGGGTGGCTCAGTCAGTTGAGCGTCCAACTTTAGCTCTGGTCATGATATTACGGTTTGTGACTTTGAGCCCTGCATCCAGCTCCCTGCTGTCGGCACAGAGCCCACTTCGGATCTTCTGTCCTGCTCTCTCTCTGTCTCTCTCAAAAATTAGTAAATATTAAAAAGAAAAGTAAATGCAATACAGACAATAATGCAGCATTCTGTTTGTTTTCTGAGGGAACCAGTGCAGTGTGGTAAAGGAGAAAGAGTGTAAGTTTGGAGGCTAATGGGTCAGAAGACCTCTGAGGCTTGTTATCTTGATCTTAAAAACTATGGAAATTTCGTCTGGCTCACAAAAACACAGAAATACAGAAAATCCAGAATCTCCCGAGGGGTCATCTTGATCAACCCAGTCGTTTACAAGTGGGGAAACCAAAGCTGAGGGGATTGAGTGCCTTACTTTGATTGTACCTGGAGCCCCATGGCTGCAGCTCTTCCAGCCCGATCTGGTAGGTACTGTGACAAAAATGGAGAATGAGTCACAGCTTCAGATTTTACAATCTCGTTGAAGAGGCAGAACGCATACGCGAGGCAATTAGACAAGAGGTAGATGGTGTGGTCTAGACAATTAGTGTTAAAGGAGTTCAGGATCCTTGGTGGACTGAAGAGTCAGGGAAAGTTACAGAGGGAAGGTGGGCCTCTAGCAGGATCTGAGTATTTGTAATGAGTCACTGAAGATTGTTACAGTGGACTTCTCAATGCATCTTCCCCAGAGAAATAGAATTTTTGACTCATTTCAGTTCCAGTATTTTCATTTCCTTATTGGCCATTTTGTTTCCTGGTAGAGGAGAAAGATCCTTCTGTCTCCCTTGTCTGTAACTTTCTAAAGCCCAGACTTTATCCTGAGTCCTCATATGCTCCCCCTGTAATTCCTCTTCTGGTCCAGTCATTTGCCTTTCCTAACCTCTCTTCGCCCTCTTCTCTTCCAAAGACTCCCCGCAAGTACAGTGCCTTCGAGCCTACAAACCCCGAGAGAATGACGAGTTGGCGCTAGAGAAGGCAGACGTGGTCATGGTGACTCAGCAGAGCAGCGATGGTAAGAGTGAGAGCCCATGAGTAAGCTGGGCGTTGGAGGTGGGACACTATAGGTAGATGTATTCATTTCCTAGGGCTGCATAACAAAGTACCGCAAGTACGGTGCCTTAAAACAATAGAAGTTTATTCTCTCATGGTTCTGGAAGCCAGAAATCCGAGGTCAAAGTGTTGGCAGGGCCGTACTCCCTCTGAAGCCTTTCAGGGAAGATCCTTCCTTGCCTCTTCCAGCTTCTGGTGGCTCCAGGTATTCCTTGGCTTATGGCAGTATAATTCCGATATCTACCTCTGTCTTCCTTCTGTGTGTGTGTGTGTGTGTGTGTGTGTGTGTGTGTGTCCAAATTTCTGTCTTTTTGTAAGGGTACTGATTATATGGGATTAATGGCCCACTTTACTCAGTATGACCTCATCTTAACCTTACTAATTACACCCGCAACAACCCTGTTCACAAACAAGGTCACATTCTGAGGCACCTGGGGTTAGAACTTCAACATATATTTTGGGGGAAACATAGTTGAATGCGTAAGAGTAGTTCAGGAGTAGGCAGTTGTAGACCTCGCCAGACCTAGAGCAGCATGGTTAACATACTGAGAGACTGGATTTCCCAATGCTGGGGCCTCCCTAGTCATTTCAGCCTTACCATTCAGAAAAGTCTGGGGGAATTATTGTGAGTCTGTCCTGGGTAATTCTTCTTCCCACCCATTGCCTGTAGGCTGGCTGGAGGGCATGAGACTCTCAGATGGGGAGCGAGGCTGGTTCCCTGTGCAACAAGTGGAGTTCATTTCCAACCCAGAAGTCCGAGCCCGGAACCTGAAGGAAGCTCATCGAGTCAAGACTGCCAAACTACAGCTGGTGGAACAGCAGACCTAGCTTTCTCTGGGAGGAATCCCCTGAGCATAAGGACAAGATGTTCCTGGAAAGGGCTGGCCCCAGAACCCTTCAACAGAGGCTTTCTGTGGACCAAGAACTAGACCTTTGGAAAACTCAAGAACAAAAACCCAGCTACCAGTTGCTAGTCCCAAACCTCCTGTTTTTGTGCTTTGTGCTTGGTGGAGGGATTTTGAAGGACTTTGCACTGGACTCTGAGAAGCTTTTCTCATAAGAAAAGGGAGAAATGGGGCCTAAGCCAAGGAACTTTACCTCTACTACCATATAGTACTTAAACATTCTCTGTTTCCAGAGTACAGATTCAGGGCTGACCAAAGTTAACATCGCGGCTACAAGTTAAACAGAATCTGATCTCAGTTCACTGGAGGGAGATGTTTAAGGGGGATTAACACATCAGATGAGAGGATCAAGCTAGTGACCTCTAAGGTGCCTTCCAACTCAAGAGATTTTCCCTAATTATTGGTGTGAGGTCAGGGCATGCATCTCTGGGATCTATGTCTGTTGGTGGCAATGTGAGGGTTGTACTCTCTCACGCTAATAAACTTGGCACTTCTCTGAGTGTTTTCTTCTCAGACTCCTGAGCGCCGAACGGGGTTTGGAACATGGAATTCCGTGAGAATTCTAGGCCATTTGATTTAGGTACCATGAAAGACCAAGATGGTGCCTAGATCAGGGCAGATGCCAACTCTTGCTTTATGATTCCCAAGAGTTTGGGCAGCTTTTCTGTTTGTTACAGCCTCAGAGGTTGTACAAGGGATTAAAAGGAATTGACGAGTGGTAAAAACCCCATTCAAACCTTTTTTACTGAACCTATAAGTTAAGCATAGGTTAGTTCAAATGGATTTGGAAATCCTACTGAGACCATTTGTGATTTTATATTTTGACTTGAATTATGATGAAGGTATCTTCCCAGCTGTTTCATCCTCTTTGTGAAAAGTAGCGTGCTATAATGGAAGAGTCCTAGAACCCAAGTCAAGAGACCATCTTGCTGTACTGCCATAGTTCAGCCTGTCCATGTCTCAGTTTCCTTAAGTGTAAAAGGCAGGATTGGGCCAAGTAATCTCCTGCCAAAGTCCTATCCAGCTCTGCAATATAGGATTCTCTATCTCCTACTGGATTGCCTTCCTTGATTTAGCATCACTGTATGATTTTTCATATAGAGCCCTCACATAGTCACCTTTTAAGCTGGATCATTATAGTTCTTCCGTGGACATTCTACTGCTCTATTTCATCTTTAGGAGTGCCCAGGAGTAGCATTGCATTGCAGCTTTGTGCAAAGGTAAGAATAATGGTGTAAATTTTGTCCTCTACCCAATTAAGGATGATACAACACGATAGTCTCATGTTTGTTAACACATTCTGTTTTCTACCCATCCTAAAATATAGTTTAGCTGGCTTAATTTTTAGAAAAGTTATCACTGTAGTAAGATGGGACTCACTTATCCTAAAGAAGTTGACATGACTGAAAAATCTAAAATAGGGACGGTTTTAGAGAAGTTCAATTGAAGTTTTCACTATTTTCATAAAGCCAGCTTTTTATTATTAATATATTATATATTAATATGTATATACTGTATGTAAATTAGCAATTGGTTCTTCTTAATAGCTTTAATAATTAACATAATCCACATTATTTGTTCAAACCACTATTTGACTACTGGCCATGTGGCTCAAACAGAGCCGTATCCCAATCTTTATATTTTCTAGGCAAATTCTCCCTTATTTTCCCAAAGAGATAAAATGTCAACTTCTGAATGATACACACGCAAATAATTTTCTTAGTTGAATGACTACTTCTTTGTTTGAAGTTGCTAAGGCTTTCTGGGTGTCTTTGAAGCTGACATTTGTAAGACTAAAACTGCCTTTAGATATTTAATATGTATTCATTTAATTGGGTTATTCTCACCTAATCTGGGAGATTAAAAGACAATTGGCTTCTGCCTGTCTTTTGTTTTAAAAACAAAAACCAAACAAAAACTTAGATATGAGTAATCTCTACTCAGTTGAATTGCTAAATTTTCTATCCTTTGGGTTTTGGAGAATTGGGTATAGGTCTACTTATTGTTTCTTCTTTCTTCAGATTTCCATAATTCAACACAATTTATTCTTGAATTCTGATTGACGTCATTATCTTAGAAACAGCAATTTCTGATAAGAGATTGTGCAGACAACCATTACCAACACGTTTGGGACAGAATTAACATCTGAGGCATGTATGAATATACAGTGTTTTTGTTTTTGTTCTTAAGCAAAACCATGCACATGGATAGTGTCTTCAAGAGACATCAAGGGTAGTCCTTTATCGCCCTTTTCTGGATTGTAACACGCCTGGAGCTTAGCAGATTTCTGCTGAACTCTTTCCTTTGTGCCCTTGACCACACTGAATATCCATCTATCACTTTTACCACTAACACAGCTTAGAAAGCTGTTCTTTAAAATTTATTTTCACCATTAACTCTTCACTTACAGTTAACTATGATCTTAAGTTTTTTATTGTGTACTATTTGCTCTGCTGTGGTCATTTGTAATAATTTTAATAATTTCAGCCTACATGTTAATATCTGGAAGGCTCACAGTTTGAGATGTATTTATTTCCCCTAATTTTGTGTTCTGTGTCTGAAACAATTCTAGATCCACGATTCAAAACAAAGTGGATATTGGTCCCATGATGAGTGATTTTTTTTTTTTTTTTTTTTTTTTTAGCCTTTGGGATAGAAGTTGGTTAAAAGTCTTTGAAAATCTAAAAGAAAATATACTCACTGGCTCCCCTTCTTTCACACGTATATTTATTCCCTTGAAATGAGCCCAGTTTCCTCTGATCCCTTGTTGCTCTATCTATAATAGTCTGTACTCTTTTAAGTATTAAGTGATACTCCCCTTATCATAACTTTCTCTCGTTAATGACATTAGAAATGCAGCAGTTGGGTACAGTGGCCTTTTCTAGACAACTACTTCTCACCCACCCACCCCAGGACACATCGCTGAGACTTGTGTTCTTCAAACCTCTACATAAATGTCTGTTGGTTCTATCACTAACAGTACAGTGACCCTAGAGTTTCATTTGCTGTAAACATGACTCAGGAGCTGCGTGATTCCAGCAACTCCAAGGCTGGTGTTGAATGTAATCGTCTAACTCTGAAATCAGGTGTGGGGGGGGGGGCAAAGGTTACCAGCCAATGAGCTAACGAGGAACAGATGCCAAGTTCAGTCCTGACTCAAATGTACTGAGAACGTTCTCTGCACTAGCAAGTTTTTGACCCACTTCTTCCAACCTTCCCGTTTTAAATGGCATTTACGGAGTGGACATTTCCCTAGCCGGTCCCTTGGAAGAGGGGGAAGCAAAGCATCCATTCATTCTGCCTAATTCCCAGGGAGCGTTGCAAAAAAACGAGGCCACGATCACAAAGAAGACTCAGGGAATGCAGGTGAGTGGACGAGGGTGTTTATTCCTTCTGGGTGGCCTGTGAGCAGAGAATGTGCGGAGAAAAGGAGCTGGCTTGGTGTGCCTATAAACTTTTTCCAAGCTGGCAAAGGAGCTCGGCGGGAGTGACTCTGATCCCTGATGCTTTGTGGATGAGTCATGGGCCTGAGGGCAGAGCCTGCTGCTGGGAGGGGCAGCACCGTCTGGCCCACAACCTTCCCCAGGAGCACCAATGGGCAGATAAATATTTTCCTGGCAGTTTACCCGCGCCTCTCAGAGGGCAATTATCTCTGAACAATGCAGATGGAAATTCAGAAGTACAGTGGGAGCCGAGTCAGCTTATTGCATGGAGGTGGATGCTCTAAATCTGCTCACAGACCGAGGGGCTCTCAGACACCAGGGAGAAAGCTCACAATCCTCTGGAGAAGGAGGCCGCGAGCAACAGAGAGGCCAGGGGTTACTGCGGTAGAGTCCACCAATTCAGCAAGAGGCTTTCACCCTCAGAGAAGCAGACGGTCCTGGGAGAAGGAAGAAAATGCAGAGGGCAGAGAAAGCAGGGACCCTTGGATGGGGCTCATCCAGGCACTTCCGGAGAGGTTTCTTATTAAGGTCAGCTTGTGGTGAGGAGGAGGGAGTCATCCACTGTTGGAGTCCAAAGAACCCTCGGGATCTTTGTGTCTCATGGCCTCACTGGTCACGGTAGAGCCTGGAGAGGGGAGGGGACTTGCCTACGGTCACACAGCCAGTTAGTTACAAACTAGGAATCTGAACGGCCCTAGCCCGATGTTCTCCTCTAGGATTTCAGCAAGTGTCTGTCATTGTAATGTTCGTGCTCATTACAAAAGGTTGAAGGGGACTTGCGATAAAACGCAAGGATTGAGGAAACAGAACACGGGTGGGCCGATTATTTCGGGGAAAGGGGGAGGAGGTGGAGGTCAGACACGTGGAATTGTTAGTAGCCAGATTTGGCCAGGCCACAGACTGGAACGAAGATAAGGTGTGGTTTTCACAGCTGTTTGTCATCCTAGCACAGGAGGGCCTTAAAGAACTAGCGGGTCCCCGGAGCACGTGTGCACGTGGGTGTGTGTATGTGTGTAAAGAGGCGGCTGTTTGCTTTTCGGGTAGGAGAGGACACAAGAGGATCTTTACTAGAACGTGGAATTTATACAGAGAGACGGCTTTCTCGCCTTGAAATACAATAACACTGGCACTAACAAAAGGAGGGAAAAGATGGAGTTTTCCAGTTGAACATCACGAAAAATGGATGTATAAAATATTTGTTAAAAACATTTGACAATAGTCCTTTAGTTTGATGCCAGGGACATTTCTTAGTTCGCCGGGTATGAAAACGTACTTGGTTTCACCAGTTCAAATGATTAAGAGTTAAAGGAAGTAACAGAAAAGTCCACCCAAAATGAACAACGCATCAGAAGGTGGACAAATCGGAATGCCTGAGAACATTAGACACTTATTACTGTTGAGAGTTCTCAAGGGGGCCCTACAGATGGCAGCCCTGGCAGGCTACGGGGATATGGACGGGGGAAAGGGAGCCACGCTGGAGAGAAGGATGCCCTGGATAGAATTTGATGGGAGGGATGACATAAGCCACAACTGGGCGAAAGTGCACCAGAAAGGACTGTGGAATCTCTGTGGGTGGGAATTCCATTCTCAGATAATAAAACTGTTGGCAGAGGAATGTACTTGAGGCAGCTTGGCCGAGAGACAAATAAAATGTGAAAACTACAGATGAAGACACAGAGGCTGCAATGCCAAGGCAGGAACCAGTTCCCCTGGACTTCTGTATCTTGTCAATCATACTCCTAGATGCCTGGGCTCTAAAAGCCAGAGTCGATTTGACATTCTCTCCTCCCTGCCTGCACAAATTCCATTGATGGATTCATAGCATCGCTCACCTTGACCATTCCCCTCATGTTCCCCTACCACTGTTTTAGTCTCAACACCAAATTCCTAGACACTGGAATGACTTTCTACTCCCAAACTTTGGACCCATCTTTCTGGAGGAATGTGCTATATTATATTTGACTGCATCTACTAGGTAATAAGGCTTGGCCAGAGCCAGAGACAGCTTGGCCATCCAGCTCCCACGGTACCCCTCATACTGCCTCTTACACACCCTTTGCCTCCCTCTCCGCCTACTCTGTCCATGCATTCCAGCACCCTTTCCACTTTGATAAGATGCGGTTTGACCCTTTCCCTGCTGCCTCTTCTCTCCCCTCTCACAGTAGTGTCTCTGTTTCAAATTAAACACCGCTGAGTCTTTAAGTCATTTAAACACAGACCTAGGATCTATAGAAAGATTTGATTCTAAATCTAATCTAGGTTACGCCCATTGATTACGCTCACCCCACCTTCTGACCTTCTGTATTCTCTCCCCCCCTCTAGAATGATCAAAATACGTTGCTTCTTGAAGTTGGCGCCTCCTGACATAGGTTTACATCCTGTCCAAAATGTATTTCTTTTGCAACTTTGGGCAAATATTTAAACCTCTCCAAGTCTCTGATTGTCACCTGTCAAATGAATAATACCTTCCAGGATTGTTTTGAAATGAGGTTCCCTATTAGAGAGCTAGCTAGGTAATCAATAAGTGCTAAATAAATGGTTACCATCATCATTAATATTTTGTCAAAGGACCAATTCTGGGCAAAGTAAGGAAGCTCTTTCAGTTCCTCGTGTGATCTTGTAAACACACAAAGTTATCTATCATCAATAGCCTTTTACCTATTAAGGCTCTTTAAATGAAATATTGCATTCAGGAAGCAAGACTCTCATCTGCATTTGGTGAAGTGGAAAATAAATACTTAAGACTTCTCTCTAGATTTGGTTAAGGTATTCTTAGAAAATCATTTAAACCTCAGTGCCTTCCTCTCTAAATTGGGGTAATTATATATAACATGCACAATTCTTTGTTCAACCTCCTCTCCAGACCTACTGACCCAATTTGGCTTTTGATCTTTGCCCATTCAACACCTCTTCCATATCGTTTCACCCCTACTGTTAGGCCATTCCTTATCTACCTCAATGCCATCTTTTCTTCTGGCCCATTCTGCTGTCCTTCACTGGTGTTTCCATGAGTCCACCCTAAGACCACTTTCATCCATGCTACACGCTGGGCAATTTTGTCTGGTCTCTTGACCTCAACTAGCATTTTCTATGCCGAAGAGGCCAGTAGTTGCTACAGGCCCTTTAGTTCTTGTCTCTCTCACAGAGCCTAATTCCATAGTTTTCTCCCCAGACACATCCACCCAGATAACCACAGGCAATTCGGCCTCAACATACACAACAGACCGGTTTCCCTGTCCCCAACTTTGCTCCGTGCCCATTACGTCCTTTCTCAGTTGACAGAATTTCTTAGTTACAAGGTCTTTTTCCTCTTCCTTTCCTCTTTGACTCCTTTGAACAAATTATCCATCACATCAACATTTATTCCAGCTCTTCAATATCTCTCCGATCGGACCCTCTTCTAACTTTACACCACCTACTCTCAGCTCTCATCTCTCACTTGGACGGATTCTGTAGTCTTGTCTGGTTTCCCTGCATCTCCTTTCTGAGCCCTCTAATCTCCTTCTCCATTTGTCTTTCTACATTTTTTTTAATGTTTATTTTTGAGACAGAGAGAGACAGAACATGAATAGGGGAGGGTCGGAGAGAGAGGGAGACACAGAATCTGAAACAGGCTCTAGGCTCTGAGCTGTCAGCACAGAGTCCAACACAGGGCTCGAACTCACGAACCATGAGATCATGACCTGAGACGAAGTTGGACACTTAACTGAGCCACCCAGCCCCCAGCCCCACCATTTGTCTTTCTAAAATACAATTCTTGGCAAGTCATGTTCATGAGTTGCAACTGCTGATGTCTCTAATCGTCCAAAGATTATAGCTCAAAGATCTTAGCTTTGGACTTTCCCCACTCTTCCCCACTCTTCCTCACCAGCCTCCTTTTCTACCACAGGCCCTCTACTGGCCGCTCCTACACACACCCACCCCCAGCCACTCTCAACTCCCTGATCATCCTTCCAGTCTCAGTGGCCTTACACTCACTATACCTTCTGCCTGACATTCCCTTTCCTGTCTTCTCTGCTTACCCAAATTCTACTCTTCCTTCACGAGTGATGCCTCGGACTCTGAAACTTTCTCAGCCCCCTCAGACATGGCTGCTCTCCCCTTGTGAATTTTCATCACACTTTGTCCACGGGCAGCCCTGCACCACACGGCCCTCCTGTATTGGAATGGTCCTTGTTGTTGTCACCCTCCCCAGCAAGAGTGCTGTATCTGAAGCTGGAAGGACTTTTTATTTATCTTTGTGTTCACCTGGGACTGGGGTGCCTGTAATTCCCCATTGGATGATGGAATGGATTTCTCTGTCTAGATTTCTCAGGACTTTATGAAAGAGAAGAGGGTATTTTTGAAAGAACTATATAAAATAAATTACAAGAACCCCTAAATCTCCCAGACTGTCCCTCTATTCTAAAACAACACCCCTTCCAGGTGAGTGAAGATGTTTCATTTCTAGGAACTCACTCTTCTTTCTTGTTTAATGTTTATTTTTGAGAGCGAGAAAGAGAGAGAGACACACACAGAATCCAAAGCAGGCTCCAGGCTCCGAGCTGTCAGTGCAGAGCCTGACACAGAGCTTGAACTCAACCCATGAGATCATGACCTGAGCCCAAGTCAGACGCTTAATCAACCGAGCCACCCCGGTGCCCCCAGACTGATTCTTAATTAATCAAGGACATTTAGGACTTGGAGTGGAATCACCCAAAGCAAAATTGTCTTTTGCAGCCTGTTTTTATGTGTTCCTTTTATGCAAATAATATTAAAATACACAAAAATAAATTATAGTGGACTATCTCAGAAATGTATAAGAAACTTGGCTAATAGGAAAAAACAGAATAGGACTCCAAGAGATGTCAGAGTGTTTTTAGACAAGTGTGGAGCCTGTAGGGAAGATTATACTCGTGGGCAGGAGGGGATGCTGAGTGAACCAGTTTCCTATAGTGAACCCACGATGGCTCTGGAGCCTGAACTGCCAGAAAGCTGAGCAGACAGCTGGAGGCATCTTCCTGGACGGTCTTTGAATTGTGAAGCTCTCACGGACACAGATGTCCTTAGCAAAGGGCTCCAGCCAGGGTTGCCAGATTTAGCAAATAAAAATACCAAACATCCAAATAGTGCAGGAAGCATACTTAAACTAAAAAATCATTTGTTGTTTATTTGCAGTTCAAATTTAACTGGGCATCTTATATTTTACCTGAGAAACCCAGCTGCAACCCAAGTGCCTTTAGTATCTTTGAACCTGGTATTCATGGCTCTAGGATGTTTTGAAGGAAGAATTAGCCTGGGCTTTCTGACTATAAACAACCAGAAGAATAGTGTCAGACGTAATGAAACTGGTGGTCGATTGCCATCTGGTGGACAATTTGTGATAGTGCAGGCTTAAATTGAAGGGCTAGGTCCTTTTCCAGAGTCTTCCTGGAAGGATTCTGCTCTGGCCCACTGCAAAGCCCTGAGGTCCTAGTGCTGACAGGGTGATGGCAAGAAGATGAGGGTGTGGTGGGGGGAGGAGAGGGAGGAGGGGTGCTGGGATGTGGTTTGCCCTGCCATCTAAGGAGACGAGTGGCCTGGCCGTGGCTCACCGGCACACAGGTTTTGCTCCTGCAATCCAGCCGAAACCAAAACAAAAGCTAGAGCTAATTGTAAGAAGACCAGCATCCTCCCAAATGAGGCTGGGTCAGACATTAAGTGGAACTATCAAAAATAAATTTACACAGGGGCGCCTGGGTGGCTCAGTCAGTTAAGTGTCTGACTTCGGCTCAGGTCATGATCTCACGATCATGACCTCACACAAGTTTGAGCCCCATGCCAGGCTCTGTGCTGACAGCTCAGAGCCTGCTTCCGATCCTCTGTCCCCCTCTCTCTCATTCCACTCTCCCTCTGCCCCTCCCCTGCTTGCTTTCTCTCCAAAACAAATTTTTTAATTTTATAAAAAAAATTTTTTTAAAGACCCAGCTATGTCTCATAACACAAGTCCTTTCCTCAGTATACATATTCTAATCTCTAAATTAAGGCTGTTGATGCCTGGTTGTCGCAGTCCTTGAGTGGCAGGAAGAGAGGACGGCTAGAAGAACAGAGCTACTCAACACCGTTGGTCTAGGAACCCGAACAGAGATGTGCACACACATGTTTTTGGGTAACCAAGAAGTTTCTCCATTTCCAAATATTTTGACTTTTCAGTGAAGACTCTGTAACTATTATGATGCAAATACGTGTAAGTTTTTGAAAAACAAAGTATTTTCCAATAATCAGAGCATTTGCAAGTCCCAAATAGCACCCACACACACACTCCCCAAATGCACTGATGTAGTTTGAATCAATGGCCCTCAAATCTTACCGACTTGGGCACAGTAGGGCCAGCAGATATGGGGTGCTAAATATATATATATATATGAGTATCTTCTTGGTGCTCCCACCTCTCATTCCTACTCCCTGTCCCAAAAGAAGAGCTGTAGAAAGATAAGTTCTGGTTCACAACACGGAGCCTTGACCTGAAATATCCTTGGGTGTCTCTTGTAATCCTATCCCTACCATGCCCAAATTCCAGAGAGACGCTGGTGCTCAAATTTGCTCAGGTTCAGTCCTGAGTTTGGGAATAAGAGTTAATGTCAGGAGTGAAAAACAGGCCCAAGATGCCTGATTTCCCCTCCAGCAGGAGATGGGCCCAGGAAAGATGCCAGGTTCCATGGGGTCATGCCCAATGGGGACCTCACTTGGGGCACTTGGGACTGCATCCCACAACCGGCCAGCTGAGTGGATGGTGGTGAAAGAAATGCAGCTCTTAGTGGGGAGACACAGAGCTGCGCAGAGAGGCCCAAGATGCACTAGTCTACCCCTTACAACAGACACGCGTTTGCCTGGCAAGGAAAGGAAACAACAGAAACGTACACAGCATTCAGAAATCATAGGGACCATCCCTTTCTCAGGGTGGTCACACAGACGTGTGGACAAGAGGGCGGGCCGGCCCTCATCCTTCTCCAATCAGGTCCAGCAAGGTGAGCCCACAGAGGGGAAACGTCCGATTTCCCCCGGGGTCAGGAGACTCTGCAGTCTGTCCTGACATCGCTGTCTCCTGGAGGGGGCACCAAGCCTCTCCTGCTCCTCCACACTGCTTGGCCCCACACTTAGGGGCCACAGCTGTCCTTCTCTTCCACTCGGAGCTCCTCGGCTGCGGGGGGCCCCTCCACACAGGGGGCAGGCTGCTCCTCGGGGGCCCTGCCGAGGAAGGGTCCCGTTTCGGGCCTGGCCCCTTCGGGCAGCCGGGTGACACCTGGGGAAGGCTGCCTGCTCAGGGCCGGAGCATAGGGGGCTGGGAGCAGATCAGGGAAGTAGCCGTCCCCTCCGGGGGGCTGCCCCAGGGCCTGCGGACAGAAGGGACCAGGGAAAGGCAGTTCTGGAAGGCAAGGGTCATTCCAGGGGACTGTACCTGCGGGGTCAAAGAGTGCAGGAAAGGTGAGAGAGGATTAAGCGTTTCCCCCACGGCTGGACATTCTCTGTGACAGACTCCCCACCCCCCTCCTCCTCCTCCTCCCACAGAAACCCAGCTTAGGAACCCGGTGCCAGTGTGGGTGAAGTCCTAGCACCAGGAGCTTCCTGCCCTCGGGCCGGGCACGCTCCTGCCTCTAAGTCCTGAGGTCTGGGAACATCGACACAGAGTGGGTCGTGGGCCAGGCTGAGCGCCCCCTCACGCAGGCAGCAGGGAGACTGGGAACAGACTCTTTCTTCCCCTTCTACTGGAATGTAGTCTTACGACGACGGTTGCGTCCAGATTTCAGAGGTCCGAGTGGCCCGTCTGAGTGCTCAGATCAGCTGTCAAGGATGTCCCTCATGCGGTTGCTAATCCTCCGCCAATCCCTCCCCGGGATGGGGATATTATTCCCATTTGAGAGCCAGGCAAACCGAGAGTCAGCAACGCTGGGAATGGCCGAGCCTGACTTCAGAACTCCCAGCTCCAAGGCTCTCGCTCTGCCCTGCGGCCTTTCGGGAAACTTAACCAGCACTTCGTAGAGACGACCGGGGGCAAGGAAAGTGGTCCACTTGCTGCCTCGGCCAGCCCTTCGGCTAAGTGAGGTGGTCCGCCCCTTGTCACTGTCCTCGGCCATGACTCACCTGCATTCCCAGCAGGTGGCTGAAGCACCATCTGCCCTGACGGAGGCGGCGGCCCTGGGAAGTAGCCCTGTGATGTCCCCGCACTGGGGCCATAGGGCGAGGTGAAGAGGGGGTCATCCGGCAGCAGAGGCTGCAGGGGGTGGGGCATGGGGAAGGGGAAGGGGTGCAGGTAGGAGAACTGGGGCTGAGGCTGTTGGTAGAGCTGGCTCTGTGGAGCCTGGGAGAATAGGAACGGTCCCGGCTGGGCGCTCTGTTGGTAATCCTGGGGCTCCAGCTCCTCCAAGTACGAGCAGGTGGATGGTGGGGTGACACTGTGGGGGACAAAGGAGTGGCTGGTGAGGCTCATGGGAGCCTCCTCGTTGTGACCACACAGTAGATGAGTCCCTTCCCATCTCCATGACCCCAGACTCGCTTCCTCCTTTCTCTTCCTGTTCTTGGCTTCTTGCCCTCATGCCTACACTGTTGCTATGATATTCTAGATCTTTCCCACTCTAAATCCACTTTCCGTTTAATCCTCATCACAAGCGTGATTCCTCGCTTCTCTCAGCTCACCCTTCCCCAACCAAGCTCTGTCTTTTCTCCTTCTATACCCCTCCCACAAGAACTCGGAGGACCACCCCCAGTAGGTTCCATACCTTGTCCCCCAGGAGCCATCTTTGTGGCCGCTGTCACTGCCTGGGGTATCCAGCAGCAGAGGCATCATTTGGGGGGTGGGGACAGGGCCAAGGGGAAAAGGAAGGTTGACTCTTCGAACTGGCGGAGGGCTGAAGAGCGGCGGGGTCACTGCTACCCTCTGAGTACTCTCACTCTGTTGGGTTGGGGCCAGAGTGTGCTCAGAGGCCAGCAGCATGGGAGGCTCTAGGAATCAAGGTCAGACGAGTTACAAGGGTAGGAGAAGGAGGAGGCAGATTTGGGGTGGGCCATGCCTAGTTCTCCTTGAGTGGGCCCCACTGGACCAAAACACTGGACAGCTTTGGCCCACTCTCATGTCTAGCCAGAAAGGACTTGGTCTTTGCCGTCTTTCCAGCTGCCATTTCCCTCACGTTACCCTCAGCGAGTATTCAGCTTACCTGCAAGAGAATCCAGAGGGGGTTCCTGAGGGAAGGTACCAGGCTCTGGGTCCATGGGCACAGCGGCTGGCAGCTCAGTTGCAGAGCTGGAGGCAGACAGAACGAAGACTGGAGCTCTAGTGTCTCTGCATTTAGACCAGGGCTCAGTGCAGGGCACAGGACACCAGATTCCCAAAAACTGCCTTCATACAAGACCCTGGCAACTTCCTGACCCTCCTCCATCCAAGGTCTCTCTAAATATCGGCCAACAGCTCCAGGCCTCACGGCCAGCTTTCCAATGCCATCTCCTAGACCCCAGGTGCCCAGCTTCTACCCCCTTCCTACCTCTACCTCCTGGGTGATCCGGGAAGAGGAGAGATCTGTACCTGCACTGACCGCTGGCCCCAGTAGGGGCAGGGTCTGCAGGGCTGTCCTTGTCCTCCTTGCCATTCAGCTTCTCCACTTTCCGCCACTTTGCCCTGCGATTCTGGAACCACACCTATAGGGGAGAGACCCTAGAAGTGTTCGAGGAGCACAGCAGAGACTCAGACTCAGGTTCTGACTGTCGCACAAGGAGCTACGGGACTTTAGGAGGTCGCTTTACCACCCTGCTTCAGAGGCCTTTCTCTGCAAGGTTGGTTTTATGAAAAGATTCATCTAGATAGCCGAGGTATCTTCCTCTTCTAAGCTGAGGCTGTGGCAATGTGGAAACAGGCGAGAACACAGCCAGATCGGAGACCTAACCTTGGCCCCTATGGGGTGAGGTCGAGCATCTGCCCTACTCCTTCAAGGGTACCAGTTGATGGTTTCTCCACCACCCTGATGCCAGTTGGCCAGCCCCCTTTACCATGATGCGTTGGGGGGTAACCCCTACAGTCTGGGCAATCTCCCGGCGCTTATCACTGTCTGGGTAGTGGTCTTCTTGGAAGATCCTTTCTAGCTCCTCCAGCTGGTCTGGAAGAAAAGAAACTTGCATGAGGACAAACAACAGGAGAAAGATGCCTTCCAAATGGGACCATTGTCCCCAACTCAAGGGTCTTCCCAGAGGCTTGCAACGAAGTTCCCCATTGGGCTGGGGCCTTCTGTCTCTCCTGGGATTTGTGGCAGGGAACTGTGTATTTACTTTCACTAATCTGTTCCCAATTTCACTTTTTTTTTTTTTTTTTCCTTTTTGAGAAAGGGAGAGGGCCCAAGTCAGTGAATGGGAGAGAAAGAGAAGTAGGGCTCACCCGGGGCTCATGTTTTACCCCAAGCGGGGCTCAAGCTCACCTGATGCGTGGCTTGACCTTACCAACTAGGAGATCATGACCTGAGCCTAAGCCAGATGCTTAATGACTGAAACGCCCAGGCGCCCCCCAATTTCACTTTCTGATGAGGCAACCCAATGTTCCCTTTGAGGGTCAGAGGTCGTGGCTCTGCCACAGGTGGAGAGAGGAATCAGGACAAGGGGATGTACAAAGTAACCACATTGCAATCTCCTGGAGCTACAATGTTCTGTGCTGAGCCCTCCTTTCCCTGCTCTCTTACATTTCCTCTCAACTTCGAGGACTTACCTGAGCGGTATAGGGTCCGGGTCTTTTTCCGAACTTGGCAGGTCACTTCCAGGGACCTCTTCTGATCGGTGTTTTGGCTGTTCTGAGCCAATGTGCTGAGGAGGTTAGCCAGATGGCAGGGCCCCCGGCCTGACCCACAAGGCACTGGGTTGTGCGCGGCACGGGCTGAGTGGGTGACACCAGGAGATGGTGTGGGGGCCAGACCCGCGGCACTGGGTAGTTTCTGCTTACTGGAGGCTGGAGGGTAGGACCTCTTCCCTGGCTTTGCCTCTTTCACTGGGAAGGAACAGCCTTCCCCAGGAGGCTGGGGTCCCGGTGGGGCCAGAGGCGTGTCTTTGTGGAGAGTCCCCGAACCAGATGGCTGGCCCCCTCTCCTGGTATCTGTCCCAGATGGTTCTCCAGGGGGGTCTGATGGTGGCTTCTCCCCGGGGACGATGCAGGAGGGGGGCAGTTCCTCACTTGGGGCATCCTGAGCGCAGGGGGCTGAACTCTGCCGCAGTTCCTTTTTTGGCCCAGCAGCCAGGGGCTTGTCTCCACCTTCCTGGCCTGTGGGGACCATCACCCACTGACCTTAGCACCGGGAGAAGGAAAAGCCTGGACTAAGGATGTGCGGCTTCCTGCTCTGCGGCCTGCGTCCCGTTTGGCCTCAACCTTTCACTTGTGCACTTGTCAGAGAGGGTAAAAATTCTAGGCTTGGCTGTTGTAGAGATCAAACTAGATAGCCCACTGCTTTGTAAAATGTGAGCAAATAGATGCACCTAGAAGGGGGCCTGAGCTCACACACACAGATGGTAGGAGGGCTATCCCGATTTGGGGGGCACTTACTTTCTGGGAATTGCCTTTTGTCCCCCACCCCACCCCCCACCCCAGACACCTGGAATGTGAGTTGAGGGACAGGCATCTGTTCAGGCATTGCTAAGGGACAAATGTTGAAGCTGGGGGTGAACTTGGAAGAGGAGGGAGAGACTGCTTCTAAGACTGGATCTCATTCCTGCTGCAGGAATGCTGCTGAAATTGGGGGCTCTCCAGAAGCCCAGGCAAGGACAGCCATCCTCACCATCCACAGATGTCACTCTGCCCCTGCCAACTCTCCCCAACCCTGTGTGCACCCTCCTGCTCGTCCCTGCAAAGCAGAGCCTCACTGTGGCCTTGGGCGCGGGCCACCCCTCCCTGCACAGGGAAGGAAGTGTGATCCAGCCACACCGGGTGTGCACCGAAAGCCCCCTTCCGCTCATCCTCCGAGCTCCTCTGTCTTGAGGCTGGGTCTCATTCACCAGGCACTTACCATGTCCCAGGCTCTGTGCTAAGCACTTTTCAAAGACTAGCACAGTGTGCACCTAATCCCTGTGAGGAAGGCACGGTTGATAGCTCATTCTAACAGATGAGGACATACAGATTACAAAGTTGAGTGATTTGCCCGAATAGTCCAGCAAAGAGCGCTTAGTCGTCATGCAGAGTCCTTCCTGGGGTCCCCAGAACCTCTCCAGTTCACCTTCCTCACAATCCCCAGATGCTTTATCATTCCCCCTAAATTGGAAAAATTTTAAGTAGATGCTGACTAGCGACTAAGAACTGCTGTTATTTTAATGAAAATTACGCAAGACAGACCATCTAAAGGAATGCGAATTTCTAACGACGTGTAAAGAAAGGTGGACCTTCGGGGGCGAAGGTGCTTTGTCAGGTTGTTTCCTAGGGTGCATCAGGCCCGTCTAGCAGAACGGGGCCCGGGGCTGGTGAGGAGTGTGCGCCGGCCAGCGTGGCGGGGAAGGGACAGGCTGGATGGTGGCCTCGGGAAGGAGGGACACGCTGGGTCGGGCTTCCCGCATTTTAGGCGAGCTTGGAGCCTAGCAAATCTGGTACGCGATAGGTGCTCAATAAACGAGACCTATCAGCGTGATGTAGCCCCGGTAGAAGAGGGGACGGGTGTCGGAACCTGGACACGAAGGGACCCGGGGCTCGGGCCCCGCGTGCAGAGAGATGGGAACCAGCAGGAGGGAGGGCGCACGGCGGGCCTCCCTCCCACCCCCAGCCCCGCGGCCCGGCGCCAGCCCCTCCCCTTCCCAAGCGCGCCCCACGCTCACCCCGCCGTTCAGGGCAGGGCTCCTGCGCCGGTTCCATGGCCCGAACTCGCGCCGCCGCGACTCACCGCGCTGCCCCCGCGCCGCCTAATGAAGCCTCGCGGGCGGGCAGGTGCGCGGGGTCCGCACGGGCCCCGGGGCGCCCGAGCCCGCGCCCCTCACCCCGCCGCCAGGGCGAGGCCCACCC